TTCAGGAATTGCCATTAGCGCTGACGTCATTAAGACAAAATTGCTCGATATGTGTGAGGAGGTTGGTACTACTGAAAAAGATTCTGCATTTTGGTCAAAACAACAGCGGTGGAAAAGTGGAAACACTAACCGTGGTGTGAAATCGCAAACGTCAACGTCAAATAGTGACAGAAATGACAGTGAAAGTTCAAATGGCGGTAAACAAACAAAATGTTACAATTGCAAGAAAATAGGGCATTTTAAAAATAAATGTCCCGAACTAAAAACAAAGAAAACCTTAAATGCTTTTAGTGCTGCATTTTTTAACGGAAATTTTAGTACAAAAGACTGGCACGTCGATTCGGGTGCAAGTGCACACATGACGGCAAGTCTAGATTGTTTAATGTTTACAGCTAAATAGACCCGTGCATGAAAACAAAGAAATAGTAGTTGCTAATCAAATGACTGTTCCTGTTGTGAGTGTTGGTGAAAAACAGATAACAACAAATGTAAATGGTTCTCAGTATGATGTCATTGTAAAGAATGTTTTATTCATACCGAAGCTCACGACAACCAAAAAAATAGTATCAAAATAATGTTCTTTAAAATACTAGTAGCGACATCTGTTAACATCTATTTGGCACACCTCATCATAATTGTCTATTAAAAGAATAAAAATAAAGTTAGTCTGTGAACAACCTCAAAGCGTGTTTTATTAAATTTCATAGTTTGAAGTTCATATTATGTAACCTGTGATTTATCATATTTTATTTTCATTCCAATAGACTGCATTAACTTATTACAACTGTCCAAACTCATATCAGAGAGGGTTGCCATTAGTGAATCATCTCCCTGAACAATAATATCAAGTGCATATTCTCCATTTTGTTCAAGACACATCCATTGACACTGTTGCATGCAGCTCCAGTGTCCATTTTGATGGGAATCTTGATGGTATTGACTGTGAAATCTTGAATTATTTTATTGCCTGCATAACCAACAAAGAAATCTCCTTCAGCTTCATCCTTTTTGTTCTTATCTGGATCCTCAAGGACATTGACTTGCTTATGATAAAAAATTTGTTTCTTGGCTGATCTGCATATTTCACTAAAATGGTTAAGTTTCTTGCACTTCAGACACTCCTTACTGTATGCTGGGCATTTATTTATATTGTGAGATGTGTCACAGTTTCTGCAGTTCCTTATTGACTTTTTATTTACATATAGGATGGAGGACTCGTCGCTGTTCTTTGAATTTGTTTTTTCTTCTATATCGACGCAAGAAAGCGATCTTGTATCTCGAAAAAATATTAATATGAGTTTTAAACATCACTCGATTCAGAAAAAAATACCGTATCAAATGGTCTCGGTTTCATTTTTCTACGACAATTTTTTGTTTAGATACGACATCGATTTTTACATCAATATTTCGAAATCAAGACGAAAATATGTAGTAACTGAACCAAAATTTGCTATGTTATTATTTTGGTATACATACAACAAAATGGCTGCATATACTTCACAGATTACGATATATACCTCGACCGAGATGCATTACTTGCAATGAGTTACGCCCTTCACAGCCTATCACTATATAAATTTTGTATAGTTACAGGCTCGGAATTTATACGCCGACTTGAGTTACTACCAAGTTCTCATTCAGCAATTTACGTAATTTCTACAATTACAAAATTTTAAAATGCATTTTTCTATTTAAAAAATATACTTATCCCATTTTAAGGGATTGAATATTTTAGCTACTGGAATATACACGGCATTCGTTCCCCGCTCCCCCGCGACTGCTCGCAGATGCACCGCGTACGGCTTATTGGTCATTCGACGCTCGACCGCTCAAAGTGTGAATGCAATTACGTAGTGTAAAGACGGCGCATGCTTTTCAAGTTTAGTTTAGTGAAATTTCAAAATATTGGTGAGTACTATTTACAATTTTGCCTTTTGTTTTGAAATGAAATAAATAATAAACATAAAAATCGGCAAAACATTTTAGGTATAATTATCAATAAGAGTTTTTTTTTCAGTCCAGACATATCGGAGGTCTGATAATATTACTACGTTATTACGAGTACAAGGTAATTAATACTAATTAAATAATTTTATCTCTGAGTTCACCCTTTTTGTTTTGTTATTGTTTGTGAAGTCATTGTGTGTCATAATCTATAAACATAACTTATAATAAAAAGCAATTTTAAGTACCTATAAGTAAGTTATAGGTACACTTTGAATTTGTATTGGTTATACACAAAAAAAATTACTGCCGCTGCATCTGTTTGAATAAAATCAACTGCTTCCATAGCGCAGCGTCAGTGAATGTAACCACGGTATGTAACGGGTTCGAATCCCGGTCGTGCTATTTTGATTAATTAATAAAATAATAATGCCCTTCAGACCGCAGCCTAGCTGACAATAGTTATCGATTTCGTAACAATGTTATAGTTATTTTTTATAGTTTTCAACTCACGTACAGAATTTGTTCGGTAAAAGAGTAACGAGCAGTAGGAATCTGTGGAGGTGTTCTGTGAATTACCACTTTCACTATCTGATTTTCAAAATCCTTCACATGCATTTTCTACTGTATTACCTAACTACAAACCTTTGTGTTACATCCAATGTGTTCCAACTGTTCTATCGCCCCACTGCTGGGCACAGGTTGGGTCTACTATCAGTGTGAGAGTGACAAAGGCTTTATTTTTGAAAAAAATATTATTAATAATCAATTTCTTGACGTTGTCTTTGTTACACTTTCTGAATGTATGTATAACAAGCATGTGGTAATTTCATTAGTACTTCGGTGTGCATCAATTTCGGCATATAGATTGCAATATCCTTTCTTAACAACTCTGTTATAACTATGGAGACACAGTTTGTTTTAAATTTTGCTGCATAGTAGCTAATGTGAAATTATTTTATATTTCCCGTACGTACCCTTATTATTTTTTTAAGGAAATTTGTTTATCATTTTGCATAATAATTATACTTTTAGATGGCCCAACGAAGACAGTGGCAAGAAGACCTGAAATCTAAAATAGCTGAAGATCAACCAAAAAATAAGCCTAAAATAGATAAAGTTGGCATAATTAAATAACAGAAGAATTTTCTTACTAAAATGCCGTACAAATAATATTATTCCTAAACATATCAGTAATAATATGAAATGTATTTTATCATTAAATATTGAGGACCATCCTTTTAAGAAGATGTCGGATAGATTGATTACGGGTTTTCAAGGTTCGATATTGAGTCTGGAGATAAAGGTGACACTATGGAAATTGGACCAACAAAATAAACGGATAGTAGAGATGGAGGATAAGGTTAAAGGTTTGGTCTCAGAACAGTTATTTAGAAGATGTGAGGTAATGAACAACAGAAGATATATATTTTTAATTAGATAAAAAATACCAACATTAAAAAGTTTGCAAAAATAATAATATATTAAAAGAGAATAAAACAGCATTAGCAACCCACTACTTTGACCAACATCATAATTTTGAGTTTGACAAAATAGAAATCCTAGATAAAGAAATGAATTGGTGGAAACGTAATGTTAGCGAAATGATCTTTATAAAAACTAATGATACTGTGAATAAACGAACAGACACTAACAATTTAAGTATTTTATATAATGATATATTAAAAGAGTATAAATCTAATAGAAAAAAATAACCTTTATTTCATATATATTTGAATTTGATACTTAGCGCGGTTGGCGCTAGTATAAAATATTGTAAAGTATAGTCTATGTACTGAATGTTTTGATAGTGGGCTAACCTTTGTCACGCAATAGCAATTTTTTTATGTGTCGTGTTGGCTTTGTTTCCAACAACAAAAATAGTAATTAACTAATTTAGCGGCTTTGTTGATTTGTATTAGTTTCTGATGTCTAAGGCAATTGTGCAGTGTAGGATAGTGATTGTTTAAATTCATATTATGGTAAATATGGTAGTGTCGACAATTGTTGTTTTTTATATTGTTGGTTATCAATATGTGTAATTTTCAGATGCCTGATGAAGGTCTATTAAAAGACCGAAACGTTGCAAAAATAATAATGTAATTTGTTATGATAGTCCTATCTTGTCCACATTCCTGAGATACACAAAAAAATATTGTATAATAATTATGGACGACAATATTGATAATACTAAAATAGATATCATAAGTGAAATCGTCTACAAAGATGGAGTAGAGGTACAGTCAATTGACCATAACACCGCGACATCTACTATTTACTCTGAAAAAAATCTAATGCCACGAAGTCCTGAACAGCCAAAAGATGATGACATAAATGAGGATTATTGTATAGCCAAAACCCTCACTCCCACCTTTCGAAAACCCGAGTTGTATATATCCGAAACAAATAAAATATTTCAAAATAATATTATAATACCCTGTAACACAGAACTACATAATAATATAAATAATTCTGAAATGAAAACTTTGACACAAAATGGTGTGAAAGATATAGTTGCCATAAAGAGTAATTTAGAAACTATAGACAACATTGCACCACCTTTGAATACATTTACACCATTTGAAAATCCTATTGATGAATATATACGTAGCCAATCAGCAAGTACATCTCATGGAACATACAACTGTAGCGGGTTATATTCAGGTATCAACCCACTAACAGTCGATACGTCCAGGAATCGAACCCGAACGGCGTCCGGCCACAAGCAAATCGATGTCGGTAAATTAAACGAAACAATACGAGAAATAGTTATATATTACGACAACACGATACACTACAGATTATTAACAAATTAACGAGACACAAAACAAACGACTAACAAATATGTGAATTTACAATAACGAGAGAAACGCGCGATCAGTACGAGGCTTTGTGGCGGACTGCCGGCGCAGCAGCTCGGCGTCACCTGCGATAACGCGGCCGCGCGTTGGCTCCTGATTGGCGCGCGCACGCATCACCTGATTCTTGCGCGCAGGTCCGCACTCAGGTAGCCGTGGCAGGATGATGCCACAGTACTCCCCCGCCGAGACCGATAGCTACGGTCGATAGTAGTCCGGGAAGGTGACTGTACGGCCGCTTCTCGTCTTTTGTACTGGACGCTGATGTTCTTCGCTCGCCTCGCTGGTCTTCTGTTTGTCTTCTCTCTTGCCATCGTCTCGCGTGATATAGGCAGGTTTTAGGCGATCTATGGTGACGGTTAATTGTTTGCCATTTACCTCAATGTCGAACGATTTCGATCCTCTTCTTAAGACTTTGTAGGGGCCAATGTATGGTGGTTCGAGCGACTTTCGGAGGGGTCCTTGCCTCAAGAACACATGGGATGTCGTGTTTAGGTCCTTAGGCACGTAGAAGGTTCGGTTTTCGCTGTGCCATGTAGTCGGTCGAGGGGCAAGTTTGTTCATATGTCCGCGTAGTCGATAAGCCAGGTCGTTGTCGTCTCCTGGGGGTGTTGCGGATGTGTTGAAGAACTGTCCAGGTAAGCGGAGAGGCTCACCGTAGACCAGTTCTGCTGCGGATGCCTGGATGTCATCTTTCCAGGCGCTGCGGATGCCCAGAAGTACCATGGGAAGACTTTCGGTCCATCGTGGGTTGGCGTGGCACATGACGGCTGCTTTGAGTTGTCGGTGTAGCCTTTCGACAAGGCCGTTGGCTGCGGGGTGGTAGGCCGTCGTTGTGTGATGGCAGGTGCCGACCAGGGTAGCAATAGCTTTGAACAGGTGAGATTCAAATTGCCTGCCCCGGTCGGTCGTGATGTGTTCTGGGCAGCCGAAGCGGGCGACCCAGCCAGCGACAAAGGCGCTGGCGCAGGTCTCTGCGGTGATGTCGCGCAGGGG